TACAGTTGCAGTACATCACACTACATCCAGCAGTTGTGGGTGAGGTGACCACTGCAACCATTGCAACCATTCCAGAAACACAACTCCAACCACCTTTCGGTCAATCAGTGGATTCGCTCTGCCATCCGTGATTCACAACAACCAACGTCTCCTATAGGTTTCCTATTCTGAAACTTCCGCCACCGCCTTGTGCGGTACTACTGTTAAATATGTTATAACTATGTTATAATCCCATGTGTAAAAAACTCCAAAGGCCATTCAAATGGGATGTAAGCCCCACTCATTATTGGTGGGGATTCTCATAATCCACGTGGCCAGGACGCATCTCCACCTCCCAGGCGAGAAAAGAGCGGGACTGTAATTGGTAGCTGACAACCCCTGTGCCAAGAATGTCAAGTACTTGGATTCAATGCCAATTTGTCTGGAATGTTTGGAATTAGCAACTGCGCTCTTGAATTGGCTTTCAACTGAAATAGAGACCATAGAGATCCTGGCACTGTCAAAAAAACTAGCCACTGGGATTTCTCCCGTGTCATTTTACTGTGGAGGATCAGGACTCTAGAGGCATTTCCCTCGCGTCTCTGCCAGGGAAGGCGACTATCAGCGGGGACTCCTCGCTGTTTCTGCATTTATCCGCGCAGTCAAGGAGCGTCAAAAACATTCCTCTATCAGGGATGAAGCAAGGGAAATCTTCTCCAACTATTGGATAGATGAAGATATGATGAAGAAAATCAAATATGTCATATGTAGTTCATGCAAGACTTGTGAAACTGCTAGAGATGTCTGTTTGTTTGTCCCACATCAGGTTCATGAAACATGAGGAATTCCGCTTTTAAGCTCGGCCCCGTGCAGGCCTACTATGACGAGTTCTTTCCCGTGAGATCCATGGCCGCTGCCAACATGGCCTTCCTGTTACAGGCACAACAGATGGACCGGGCATTTGCGGTCGGCCTCTTGTGATTTCCTTTTTGGTTGCCATTTTGGATGGGGGGGTACCATTATCAAATCTTTGGACTTATCATGACTTATCAATGCTGATGAATTGATGATTTGCTAATCTTAAAGGGGTTTGAGCAGCTTTCTATTTCCTCCGCCTAATCAACAAGGTTTTATTAATCCTGGGCTGGCATTTACCGGGAATGGTTCTTTTTTCTGCCAGCTTTCTATCGTCCTGTGTTTTCACAGCTGCAGGCAGAGAAAGCTTTCAAGGAGTCTGGCAAGGCCATTTTTGGTCCTGAATCCTGACACAGAAAATTGGCTTGGGCTCAGTTGAAACAAAAACGGCACAGCGCGGCTCGAAGAATTGAACATTCTCCAATCCCATAGGATCCATGGTGCTGGTATATATGCTAACATAAAGGGGGTACATTGATGGGATCCATGGCACACCATTACTATAGCAGCACCATGGATCCGTCATGGGAATGGTCTGTTCAGACGACGTTGATAGGTTCAGCGCCTTTCCATGGGCAGTCATCTCAGTGGAACATCAGCATGAACTACGCATGAAATTGGCGTAGAAGACGACTGGACAGATTCGAGCTGCTGGTTTCTGAGCTTTTTCACTAT